AATAAAAAAATAAAATAATCTTTCAAAAGTGAAAAAGGGAGGATCAGTATGGGAAAAGAAAAATATTTGCTTGGATCGGAAGCACTGCTTTCATTTACTTTGCATTGTTGCACTTTTGGCTTCGTGACTATACAATGTCATGACCATTAAAAAGTTTCTTGATTTGAATATTTCACTTTTTTTAAAAAATATTATTTGAAAGAGGAACCAACATAAAATTTTTGCCATTTTGTTCCATATGGTTGATAGTTATTTGCTATGCTGAAGAAATCAAAAATAAAAAAAAAGGTAGCAGATGATAATAGGAAATTTTCGGAGGCCTAGACTTTGAAATACTTTTTTGTGGAGCAAGACAAAAGAATTACATACCTGATATGTAATTTTACGATTAGTGTTTGCAAGGAGTATTATAGTAAGCGACATTATGACATGAAATACTTGACATTTTCAAAGCTTGAGAGGATCAAAATCGTAAAATCAAATTTCTTTGCTATTTTCACATTGCACAAAGGAATGTATTTACAAAGGCATCTATACAAATAGATAATTGCATTAAAGTTAGTTTGGTAATCACAGTCTCAATTGCTGAAGGTGGCCACCCATTTACTAATGGAGATTTTGCAAAGGAGTGTATATTGCTGGCGTCCGAGAAAGTATGCACTGAAGCTACGAAGCAAGACAATTCAAAGAACTGAAAGTTTATCTGATGATGTTAATGGACAATTACAGATTACTGCTGCCAAATTTTAAGTACTTTTCTATAACAGCTGATGAGTCAACAGACATTATTTCGTCAACTCAGCTGCTTTTGTTTAATAGAGTAATTTTCGAAAATTCTGAACTAACTGAAGAACTTGTTGGAATGAGTTCAATGAAGCAGTGAAGAACTGGAGTTGATATTTTATATTCCAGTTTGAATTTATGTTCTGCACATAATTTTGATACTAACAAACTTGTTAGTATCACTAGTAATGGAGCTCCAGCTGTGACTGGAATTCAGAATGGCATGGTAAATCTACCGAGTAACCATTTGGTTGATCAAGGCAAAGATTTGCTTGGGTATCACTGTATCATACCTCAAGAACAGCTACATGCTAAACAACAGGCAATTTAAGGAAATCCCAGAACAAACAGATGCACCACATAGTGATCTCATATATTACCTTGAAGTACCGTGGTTGAGCCAAGTAGAGGCTTTAAAAAGGTTTGCTGATTTGAACGATGAAATAATATCATTCCTTGAAGAAAAAGGCAAGCATATGATATCAAAGGAATGATCTTTCAGGTGTAACTTAGCATTTTTAGTTGATGTGACAGCCCACCTGAATGACCTAAGAGGAAAACTGAGAGGAGGGGGGGGGGAAACTAATTCATCAATCAACTGGCCAATGCAGTATTTGTTTTCAAACTAAAACTCCAGCTGTTCTCAAAGCAGCTTAGCTGTCAAAATGTTGTCAATTTTCCTAACCTGAAGAAACTCAGAGAAAATTTTCTTGATAAATAATTGGATTATTCAGATCAAATAAAGATGCTGCTTACTTCATTTTAAAAGCAATTTACAGATTTTGAGTTACATAAGGTTAAATTTAAACTGTTTGAGGATCAACTTTCTGTTGTAATCAAAGAAGCTCTAGAAGATGTTCAAATGGAACTTATTGATTTACATTCTGACGTATGCAAATCTAGATTATGTGATTTAGACATTCTTAACTTATATAAAACTCTACCTGCCGAATTTTTGCACTTAAAAAATACAGCAGATGTGCTACCATGTTTGGTAGTACTTATATATGTGAACAAACATTTTTCTCATACGAGTCTAAATATGTCAAAATTGAAAAATAAACTGGCAGATCAACACTTGCAATCTGTCTTAAAAATATCAACAACTAGCTTTCAACCAAATATATAAAAAATTATTGATAAAATTCAGTCTCAACCATCACATTAATGTATTTACTTAACTATGGCTAACTTGCACACATTTTTATTAAAAATTTATATATTAAATTATCATGCACAAACATACACAGTAATTTTTTTTTCCAAGCTTTAACTGGGTGTATTGGCCTCAATAGCACATGCAAGGAGAAAGGGAACCCCTCCCCTCCTCCTTCCTTACATACGTATGTAATGCTCTCCAAATCAGATTAAATTTTATATTATACATGTGTGAATTACAAATTAAGTAACTTATTGCAATGACCCCCCCCCCCGAAAGTTTTTGAATATGTTATTGGCCCTCGGCAAGTCATTTCTGTACGTGATCCTTCTGCTAAAATGGTTATACATCCCTATTCTAAATGACGTGAATTTGAAAGGCCCAATCTTCATTACCAATTTTCATCTCTCTTCAAATTATTGCTTTATTTCATTTTATAATTTCACATAATCCTCTAAATCTACAGAATGGGGATAATAGGCTTGCAATGGCATCCTAAATATTCCTAAGTTTCACTTGTCAAAGCCTAACATTTATCAGCTTTCATTATTATTAGTACTATAAACAAACAGTTTGTCAGCCTGTTTCTAAACCTTTTAATATTTCTTGTTATCTTGTCTTTCAAGGTAACAGAAACTGTAAAATTTTATTGACGGTATTTTGATAATTTCTTAAGACAGTTCATACAACTATCAGATTTCATTACTGTATTAAAAATTAAAATTTAAGGTATCTTAAAAAAATTGTAAAATAATCAATAATAATTATTTGAAGAACTATCCTTATAATTTCTTTTCCAAGACAATGAATTCACATTTTTCAATTTTCCATCTATGGTACAATTAGCAAATTTTGATCAAGTGATAAACACAAGCGAAAAGAGTACAGTAAGGGAATAAAATTAACACTCACATTCTTAATTAAAAATTAAGAGTATTAATAATTAGTAAATAATCAGAACTAAAATTAAGAGTTCATTTATAATTAAGATACATAACACTATCTATGGATAATGTATTCTTAATGAATTGAAAGTGTCTATGAAAGGTTAATTAACATTATTTAACTCAGTAGTTGTGAGGGAGGCTGCATTAGCACACATTTTCTTGTAGCTTAATTTGAATCAAACTGGTAATATTCCATTATGTAATCAAGGCTCAGAGAATATAAAGATATCATATTAGATATAAATTTGTAGATTTAAAACACTGATTGAAAATAATTAGCTATTATTATTACTACTCATTAATTAGTAAACTATCCCTCTCTAAGATAACTATTTACAATTCTACACAATTTTGATCTTTCATGGAGGCATCTTTATGGATGACTATTAATTATAGTAATTAGTAAGTCCTCATGGATGGGTATTAATTATGGTTAGAATTAATTTGCATAATGGATTTTATTCACTGCAAATACTATAACAAGAAGCAAAATTAATGATAGCAGAATTCATATTAGTTTTCTAAAATACTATAAATTAATAACACTGTAATTTATTTAAAACCACCCACTTCTTGAAAAAAATAATAAAATACTTAGTCAATACAGTCTGCCTGCTTCATTTTACCATTTACTTTTCTTAAACAACTTGGGCTTCTGCCCTCTTCCTTTGCAACAGACCACCAGAATTATCTTCAATAAATTCTAACCTTTTTTTAAAAAAAAATTTAATGCTTATATTTTTTTGTTAAGTAAACATTTAAAAAAAACTCAGTGAAACTACCAAGCTTAGCTGCTGAGATTTATAAAACTTAAAATAAGCAACCGCAAGGAAAATTCCGCTATCAGTTTCAAAATAAACAGAATTAAAGGACTGGAATAATATCAAAAACAGCCTTAGCCTTGTGATGAATTACATCACACTGAAAAAGGAATAAAATTAATATTTCAAAAATTAGGTAACTAATCATAAGAACTAAAGAAACAGCTCATCCTCCTAACTTTACTGAAACTTTTTCTTTAGTTCTAAAGATGAATTTTTGTCTGATTGGCCTTAGTTTTATTCAAAATCTAAATCAAACTAATTTGCCTAATTTTAAAATGCTGATTGGTACTTTTAAAATAAATAAAATATTTAAACTCACTATGAAATCAGATATTTTGGTTGGTCAAGTTAAGAAGCAGTCATCCAATCGAATAATATCAGTATCAATAATGAGTTTATTCATATTCTCAGAAATAATGGACACTTTCTGAAGTGGTAAGCTTAGTGCAGAGTTGCTAGCATACAGCTCACTATATATTTCATCGTATTTAAAAATTTAAATAATAACTAGCTTATCATATATTTAATTTTGCAATATCTAAAAGTTACCAAAATTTCATTAAAAATTTGAAACAGAAGCAATGTTAAAAGCTCTGTAAAAATTTAATTTATATGAACTGACTAAAATAATTTTTTTAAAAACTTCTTTAACATGATAAAACTTTTATGACAACACAAACAAACCTGATTAGATTTTTTAATAAAAAATCCTTTTATCATATCTTCAGATTAATTTCCCATTCATTCTCACCCAACGTTATTACATATCCTTAACACTGATACATAATTTTGACATTCAAGAGTGGCTACAGAGGGCAGACAGTTAATTAATTAAAAAATAATGACATATTCAAATCCAGATACTTTCATATTATTTTCTCAATCAGCCACATAGTGCAATTTAGCATCAATTATGGATGACTGTGTCCTTTAAAATTTCACCGTTATGATTAGCAAATACTGCCAAAATTTCCACCAATAGTCGACAAGATAATACGTAAGTACCCAAATTTATTATTTTGAATGTATTTGTTACATATATTTTTTAGACCATTAATACTACATCATATAAAATTGCTTTGTAATATAAAATACACTTAAAAAACACATTAAATTCAGAAATTTGCTAACAGCACATTTACTCAAACTCATCACTTTAATGACAGTAATGAAGCTACAATCTTCAAAGCATTGCTAAATACAATGACAAATGAACAAAATTCGTAGATAATAAATCACACTTGATAAAATAATAATAAATATAAAAATTTTAAAGTACAAATTTACCCGTTATCGAAAATTCTTCAGTTTGAGAGCTTGCATATGCCCATACAAGAGTAAACGCCACCACTGTCAAAGTAAAAACTCTAATTAGATGCGACAAATGAACATGCATATTTGAAGATGATTAAAAAATAACTGGCAAAATTGTAAAATAAGGGAGAGGAGACCGAAATGATCATATTTTGGAGAACATATGTGCTGTTCAAGAGTGGATCCTGCATCACTTCATTATGCTGTTAGCATAATGAAGTGATGCAGGAGTTGAGTAGTAGATAAAAACACAGAAAAGGCATGTTAAATTATACGTATAATCTGCGGGGCTGCAGCTAAAATAGAGTAGTTAGTCAAAAGAGGTACCAATAATGATTCCCAAGTATTCTCACTAAACAGCTGCTTTATTTTCATATATAGACCCATGTATAAAATGCATATTGGCAAGCTCTGCATTCGTGTAGTGATGAGTACCACTCGAAATTTGCATACGAACTGACAGCAGATTTCTTTTACCTACGATTCAAGAGTGTCTTGTATCATTTCAACGTACTATATTACCACATATTAAAAATCTGCTTAAAAATCTACTTTTACCTGCCTTTACTCCCACTCCCACCCCCATTGGTGGACACTAGGCATTACAGGCACTGGCTACTACTAAGGCCATAAGTACACTTTATTATGGCCACACCTAATATGTGAGCCACCGCCGCTTCCTATGAAAGGACAATTTATATCCATGCCTTCTCCAGGATTCGAACCTTTACCCTTCAGAACATCAGTCAGAGCTAACTTTCCCATCTGGGAAGCTCCCTTTACATTTGTATTACATATTTTTTAATTACACTGTGCATAGGGTTTCACAGAATTCCACATATATTAACAAAAATCATTTCATAAAGCAAACACCTGTTTATTTAATTATTATCTTCTAAGACAAATAATAATTCCAGAAAGGTTTTTATAAAAATACTAGCAAATGCCAGCTTCAGTGCACTGAAGATAATGATTATACATTGATTTTTTGTGACAAATATTCCTACAGAAATATCTTATTATCGCAACATCTTTTGTCTGTTCTGTCTTTCGAATTAGCTTGGTTGGTGATACTTTACAACAGCCTAAATAAATATGCTTTCTAATCTGTTGCACCACACTATTAAATGCTTAAATTAGTATCAAAGCTGGCAGCCTCTTGAAAGAATGTGTGATGTAGCAGAACACCATTTGATAAAGGTTGTGATAATAATTCAAACAGTGATAAAAGACATTCAACAAATAAAAACAGATTTTACAAAAAATCTATGCTCAGAAATTCGAGTTTAACTATATTTTTAAAACACATCAGTTGAAACGTTAAGAACAATGTATGATTAAAAAACTTATACCAATTCTGAATGTTAATAAATATATAAACAATACAGATTCATTAACACACCCTTTTGTTCATTTTCTTACATAACTTTTCTCTACTCATTTTGCTCTTGTAAAAGAAAGCAGATTCGATAGAAAGCTTCTGAAATATTACATTAAAAATTAAACAGTCTGTTAGTTAAAAAGAATCTTAAAAGAACAAAATAGGTCAGAGGCAAACATTTCTAGAGTTTAAAAATGCATCATACAATTTTATGTAACTGTTAGCAAACTGTAATAATTGCATAAACTGAAAATAACTATAATAATGATACAGACAAAGTATAATGAATTTAAATTACTTCTGAACATCATATCCCCATTCTCCCTCTCCTTCCAAAAAGTGGCAGAAAAGTATAGGGAGTATGAATTATGATCACAATATCTCAACTGCAAAGTAATTTTTAATCCGACATACATAACATTATAAATTACCATACTAGAATAAAACTTACAGCTTATGATTTTCCACATACTGAACACTCAAATCTTCGACAAGTGTACTGATACAAAGATTATACCCTAAAAGTAAGAATGATATTAACATAAATTTCTCTAGTTCGTAACTTCTGCACTTAAATTTACGAACAATAATTAAACAGTTCATTTCCCGTAATATTTAATGTTTAACAGAAATAAAGCGAAATACTTTTCACGAATACTTAAATGAAGACTTCGTGAGTACAGAATTTTAAGCTTCTATAAATAGAAACAACTTTTACCACAGAAACACATTTTGATAATTAAACTTAACATACAAACCACAATAAACTGCGTGTTTTTAGTGAATACTCTAACTAAACAATAAGGGTTTGTAAAATATACATTATAAAAAAGAAACTTCACATGCTACAAAAGTATTCTCTAAATCACAAGCATCTATAAAATTATGTAACTCATATACGCAAAATATTAATTATACGTATAACCTATACCTACAACCGGCTTAACACATTACTATCTTCGAAGGTAATTCCCCGGAATTGTGTAACGATTTGCGGAGGTCTCTCAGATCAAAATGCAAACAGATAAAAGCTAAACCGAAACTTCTTATCTAAACCTAAACCCAAATAATCAAGGACAAAAAACTGGACGGTATCAAGCATTCATTAATTCATTATGCGCGTATCTTCTCTTGGTGTGTGTGCACAGATGGCTCATGCGCTCAGTAGTTGAAATTTTTATGATGATTGAATTCACTTGAAAATATATGCTTTTCTATTTGACACAAATTTGCACTCAATACTGTGTGAATTTTAGTTTGAATACTTCGGGATAGGGCTACTAGAGGTACCTTTTATAGTAGCCTTACTTCGGTAAAGTTTCTGTTGTGTTTTCAAATGTATTGTTGATAAAGAAACCGAAGATTATCAAACACTGCGATGAAAAGTGTTAAAATAAACGTAAAGTGTTAAACGTGAATCATATTCTCTAAACTCTGTACCACTTTATTCTTGAAGCAAAATTATAGCTTTCAATTCAAACTGGATGTATTTTTAAGGTTTCAGAAACGTGGGGAAATATTTTTTATTTCTTAGAATATATGTATGATTACTAGCATTGAGAATACAAAATTTCATTAAAAAAAAATGAGCCATAAGAATTCAAGTTCAGAAGATAAGAAAATGAAGCTCTACTAGCTCAAACACATTAGCGGTATTGTGTCATACAGAAACCTCGCATCACAAGTGCCTCACTTCACAAACATTTCGATTCTCGAAAACATTATCTAAACAAAACACGCTCGGATGATGAGCACTCAAATAGGTTATATATGATTTTCGAAGTTCTGAGGTAACCTATGTCGCACATAGTCACATAATTAACACCCAGGGCCAGGACTAGACCTTTTATAGGCTCTAAGCACTTAAAGATTGTGGTGCCTCAGTACCTCCTACATAGTACATGTATGTAGGAGGTACTGGGTGCCCCCGCATATGTTTTAATTTCTTTTCTTTCTTTCTTTTTATTTATTTTTTATTTTTTATATTTATTTTTTTTTTTATTATTTTCAGTGAAGAGGCAAATGCAAAAGTACAAACGAAGAACAAAAGGTATACAAACAAACAAGAACAAAAGGCTAGTAACCAGAGTCATTGCCACAATAGTTCTCTAGCACCCCACGCTTCATACTCAGTAAGAAATGTCGTACATTGATGGAGGTGTTCTCTATTCATTAGATCTGCCGAATTACAGAGGGAGCAGTTAGGGTTCGAAAAGATTGCAAGGCGATGGAAGTGCTCTGCCTAACAGTACAGGCAGGAGCCGGAACTGGGCAACAGCTTTCCAAATTGGACTGCTGGGGATTGGTAACAGATTTTCAGTTCTGCAACGCTTTATTCTATCATGAATTTTTAATTTATTATAACTTTTCCATTATTTACTTAGTATAAAGCCTGATCATGGAAAGATGATGTCGAAAACTTCGTTTGTAGCTTTTTTGTCTCGAACCTATTCTTGCGAGGCATAGGCTTGCTTGTTCCCCAAAATGCCACAATGGTCAAGTATTCACTGCAACCCCACACATTTCATTTTTAAAGCCAAGTCTCACAAATAATGCCGACATTGGGAGATTTTCTCCGATGAGGGCAAGCTTGAAGAGTTAAAGGCTTATATTGCAGTCCAAAAACAAATATTTTAGAGCAATTAGCAAAGCTAACAGTTCTCGATGGAAAGCTGTTCGAAATTTTACCACTGAAGTATAAAATAAGCTCGAAAAGATTCCAGAGGCTGCAGTAATGAGATCATCATAAAAGAAGCCATCCGTAAAAATATGAAACCACTCTTTTGAATGCATCATACCAATAATATCTAGATTATAACATTTCAAAACATTTGTAGAGTTGTTCTCTTAAAATGAGGTTCTCGAGAAAGAAAGAAATTAGTTTCAATCTCCACAGTTTCAAGTGGATTTGAAAGCTTTGTAAACTCTTGAATATTATTATTTCCCCTCCCCCGATGGCGTCCGTCAAACCGTCCACAGACGTTGGCCACTAATAAGGCCAGAAGCGGTAGTCACTTATTATGATTCACGTTATTATGAAGACACTCAATAGGTGGGCCACCTTTTCGTCCTATAAGGGGACGGGCAAATACAACCGTATCTTCTCGGCATTCGAACCCGGGCCCTTTGGTATCGAAGTCGGCTTCCCTATACACTATACCGTTTGGGCGATTCCCTTAAATATTATATGGCAGCTCAAAGTTTCTTCAGAAATCCCGGGCAAACTGAGAAAAACGTTTTTGTGTTTTTATATTTCTAATGTTTGTTGGATAATTAATGTAGTAATGATTTGCATATCTAATTAATTTTTCATATAATATCAGAACTTTTCTTCAATGATAATTTTAATGGGTTTATTATTCGTCAACAAAAGCATAGCATCAATCGATGTCGATTTGACGGTCTCAGTATTAAGACCTTGATACTGCAAAAGTTTCAGTTTTCTTAAAACTTGATCACCTGCCGAAATAAAGATGTTTACAGCAGTAAATAATAAAAGGCAGGATCAAAATCTTATAAGTAGTTTCTAAAGTTGATGTATCACATCTCCAAAGGCCCCCAACTAGTCGCTTTAAAATTGTCTCTCTGCTCAGAAAGCGACTTAAGATTCATTCAATATGAGACTTCAATTCAATTTGTCAAAAGTCACTCCAAATAATTGAACTTGCTAGTATGGGTACAGTGGTGTAGCGAGCATAACTGGAGCACGGGGCAAAATACCTTTCTGGAGCCCCCCCCAAAAAAAACACTTACAGTAATATAATGCATAGAATATATTCGTAATAAAAAAATAATGCAAATAGTAATAAAATGCTGAATCTGCCATAAAAATACTCTAAAACATGTTAAGAATAGTCACTACCTAACTACACTAGCACTGGATTCGGAAATGTATCTGTGTCGGCTGAAAAATCAAACATACGATGATCTGGAATTAGTTAAAACGCTTGTATTTATTTTACATATTTATATAATTGTTTTTTAAAAAATACAGTTTTTAAACAATTAAAAGTAAAATATATTTTTACAGATAAGTAGATATATTTAAATAATAATATAATATTATAATACATTAATACAATTAATTACTATGTATACATTTTTCTTGCCTTAGATGAAGGAAATTTATCAATTACTTCATCAAAGTCGATCAGTTCAAATTTTTCTCTTTCCACATTTAAAAATGCTAGATGATTTACGGGATCTTGTCCCACAGTTGACTGTTAATAGTCAAAATTTATTTTAATTTGCTGAACGAACGTACATAGCTAGCATTTGATAATGAAATAGTAAGGAGTATTTTAAGTGCGACTCTTAGGTTTGGAAACACATTTTCTCCATAGATCTGTAATGGAGTTTTAGGTTCAATTTCTTTTCTACTGCGAAGTAATATCTTGCGGTCACATTCACTGCTCAAAACAATTAGGGAATATTGTGAGTTTGGCATGAAATAACCATATAATAGACAACCATTTTAACAAAAAGAAATAGAAGAGATTATAAAGGACAATTATAACCTTTGCAAAATATGCAAATTTAGTCTGTTACGTAGAAAACTATGCGTATTAGATAAGGAGTAAGGAGCGACCTGCAGCGAATCGGTAGTCAGGAAGGCTTCAGTCGTCTACAGTAGTTTACAGGAGAGTCAAATGAAATCCATTGTAGCGGAAGTGTTAGGAGTTTCCAAAAATGTCATTTCCAGACTATGGAATCGTTTTTGCATTCCGAGGTGGGACAGCGTTCGAGATAGACGTCTTATCGCTTCGCTCTCCGTTCCCTTGCGTTGCTACCACCTCCGCTACTGTACCGAGTTCATCGACCTCGCCTCACGGGCTCTGGGTTGTTTCTCTGACTTTCGCCTCGCAAAAGCGTCGCCTTAACTCCACTGCTGCACCCTTCGCAGAATAAAACAGGTCGTATTTTATTCTTTCTTCTGATTTTCTTTATTCACCGTGCTCATAAGGGTACCTTCGGGTACGGCCTCTAGTTAGGCCTTTTTCCAAATTATTTGCCTCACATGATTAATCAATATGACACAACAAACATAACTGTAACTAATAATAACATAAACATGGAAAATCCTCACATGAGACATCTCAATGATGAACCTAACGTTCTCCAAATATTAAGTCACAAAATTACTTTATCCAATGACGTCAAAACTACCAGATCCTTGGTGGAAGATATCCAAGATATCCGTAACGACCCAAATGTGATTATGTCCGCTAGTGATCAAAAAGAACTAAACTTTCTCCTTGTAAAAGCCATTAATCAACTGCGTATGCAGGAAAACGAGATGGCCAATGCAAAAAAAAAACGAATTACAAACCTCTAACGAAAAAGCTCGCTAAACAATTTGAAGAGATTAAAAACTTCTGCGACATACTTCAATCCACTAGTGGTTTCAAAGAAAAAGAAAAATTGCGCCATAGACAAACGGATTTTGACTCCGATGAGGAGCCTTCCCTCTAAACCAGCAATCGATATAAACAATTAGAGAACCAAATTGACGACATGCATTTGGACAACGAAGATGAATCAGGCCACTCAGCTCACTACCACCCCAAAGACCAACCAAACAAGAGTGACACCATTTCCCGCAAATAGAAAAACCAAACTCCAGCCCCAAAACAAGCAGAATTGATAAAGTGCCAATTATTGTCGTAGATGACGTACCAAAAGCGGATGAATTCTTAAAAAAAAACTTAAACAAGCAAACCGGAAAAGAGATAACTGGCACCTTTAAAAGGACGCCGCCTTGAAATACAGCCTTCAGACTCTGACTCAAATCGATTCATTCGCAAAATAGTCGAAAAAAACAAAGCTTAAAGCCCACACCTACTTTTATTGCCCGAAGATAAAAGTTTTAAAAGTCATAATAAGAGGCTTACCCATCACCACAGATCCCCATACCATCACTCAAGAACTTCTTGACAAAGGATTTAAGGTTGACTTTATTACATTATTAAGAAACAGAAAAGAAAATAAACCAATGCCGCTTTTCTTAGTACATATACCAAAATCAGAAGAAAATAAGGAAGTATTCAAAATCAAACGCATAGGTTATATGAACGTAACAATAGAATCATTACGCAAGAAACCTGGCCCTCCACAATGCTATAGATCCCAGGGATTTTTTCACAGTTCCCTGCTCTGCACCAGAGACTGGGTATGCGTCCGTTGC